AATTTGATTTACTGGTATTTTTAATTTAAAAGCAATAAATCTTAAGAACTTTTTCTATGCTCTTTCTAATAGATTTTTGTAGCATTTATAATGAGGAGACTAAATATTGCTACCATGTTCCAAAACCGATTTAACAAGGGAACAGTAGATATTTTAGAGACAATAAATATTATCAAATTCAGAGAGGCTACGTTTTATGAAATCTAAAAGTTTCATGGGTCTATTAGAAACGTAAGAAAAGTGGTCCCTGAAGCTTACTGTAGGGTCAAAAATTACCAAAAGATCCTTAAATGTTGTGATTACCTCTAAAATATTCGGTCCAATATGGTATTCAAATGAAATAAGATGTTTTTTTTTTCTAAAAAATCGCATTACCTTACATTGATTTATGTTCGAATTTACAGCATTTAATTTACACCAATCCAATAATTAAATCATTCTGTAATAAACTACTTCTTTCTTCTTTGTGTGCCGTGCTTGTATTCAAGCGTTGGCTATCGTCATATTGACCGTTCGACCTGTCCATTGTGTAATGTTACGCAGCCAGGACAGTTGTTTTCTTCCGACCCAACGTTTTCCTTCGATTTTGCCCTGAATGATTAACCGGAGTATTGGACTCTCATTGTATGACCGAAGTATTGGACCTTTCTCATTTTGATGATGTTGATCAATGCTCGGTCTTTGTGCACGGTCTCTAGCACACGTTCGTTAGATATGTGTGCTGTCCACGGGATTCTGAGCATGCGACGGTAACACCATAACTCAAATGCGTCTAATTTTTTAAGATTTTTTATTTTTGTGGTTCAGGTTTCACATTCATAGATCAAAGTGGACCAGACGTAGCACTTCAATACTCTTAGACGTGTGGTCAACGACAGACTTCTACTGCATAATACAGAACGCCAGTTAATAAAGTTTTTCCGTACGAGTTCTATTCTGGTCGAAATTTCCTCATCACTTTCAACCCTGCAGTCAATCCAGCTACCCAGATATCTAAAGTGTTTCACCCTTTACAGGATTTTGTTATCTAATCTTAGTACTGAGTTTTTGATAGATATTAATTTTTCCGACCACCATCCATTTTGTTTTTTTTTGCGTTGATTGTTAATCCCTTTTCAGTGCATTCGTTGTTTATAGCATTCAACGGGGTTTAAAGATCTTCTAGACTCTCTACCATTATTGCGGTGTCATCGGCGTATCTGATGTTATTAATAATTTCACCACCGATCTTAACACCTTCGCGGCTGTAGTAAATTTGTGACCTTCGTGACTATAATAAACTACAGTCATTGAAATTTTTTATGACTCTATAAATTTTTAGATCATCAGTATAGAGAAGAATATTACTATGATAAAAACCATTTTTTATATCATTTACAAAATAATTAAAAAGCAGAGGAGATAAATGTCCACCCTGTGGAACACCGGAGGTTACATTGATAGTAGATACAAAAATTGGTTAATTTTTACAACTTGAGTTCTATCTATGAGATAGCTCTCCATCCAGCCTAATAATCTTTCATGTAAACCAACATTATAAAGTAGAGATTAGGACAGTATGGTTAACTCTATCGAATGCCTTCGAAAAGTCGGTGTAAATGACATCAACCTGGTCATACCCTTCAAGAGCATCCAACAAAAATTCTTGTAAAACTAAAGATTGGTAGTAGTAGCTTCCTGGAATAAAACCATGTTGATCGGGCATTAAAGTAAAATTCAATAATGGACCAAGTTTTGCAGCTACAATCCCTTCAAAAGATTTAACGAAAACTGAAATTTTAGATATAGCTCGGTAGTTTTCAATATTTTCTCTATTATCACCTTTATTTACTGGGGTAATATAACTTCTCTTCCATATCTCTGGAAAGACCTCTGAGCTCAATGATAAACTAAATATTTTTTGTAAAACATAACTCGGAATAAATCTACAATTAAATATGAACAAAGGGGATATATTATCAGGTCCACAACTTACTTTTAGATCAATCTTATTAGTCTTAGATATAAATTCAAATACATCTAATACAGTAATATCACAAATTTCAACACAAAGACTACTATCAGAGTTTACAGCTGTATAATCTGTATTACTAGTAACATAGGTTGGATTAAAAAAATTACTAATTAAATTTGCTATATTTTGGGAATTATCAGACATAGCAGTTTGTAAATTATTTAGGTGAATCTGATGAAAAAAGATTATATTTCTTGTTAGATCCTGTCATTTTGTATTTTGCATGAGCAATCTTCTTTTGAAATAATATATGTTTTAAATGAGGAGTGTACCATTTCGGAAATTTTAAGATTTTACATCTAGTTTTTGGTACAAATAGATTAATACACGAATTTAACACTTCATAAAATTTATCAACGCTATCTTCTGATCATATATCTTACATCATCCTCATCCTCAGCTGAACCTGGTCGTCAGCAAATATACCCTTTATTTAACACGTTCGTCTCCATCGTCATAGCGCTGAATTTAAAAGAATTTTAAATAAGGTTGCAGCTATTGCACAACATTGTCTTAATCCAACTTGTCAATTTTATCTATTTTTGAATTAAAGTGTCTTTAAAGGAAAAGACAGTAAATATTTGATTTCACGTATAGTGACTCTGTATATTGTACCATTTGCATTTTCCTATATATTGGAATCCCCTCGTATATGTATTAAAATAAGATAAACGAAGAATGATTTCATTGTATTTCATTTCCTATTCGTACGTGTTAAAATACTGAAATCTTTCAATTCATCTTATCGTCCCGGGGTCGAAAATAAACACATTTTTAGAGTTTCTTTATACCACGGAAGCGTAATTCTTTGATATTTTTCTTTGATAAAAAGCCGCTCGATACTGCGTTTGAAATAAACATCCATTTAGAGGCTGAGAAGTTTTTGCCGGCAAGATAATTGCGACACTCTCGTTGAGGCGTGGTCAAGAGCGGTGGACTTCAGCGTTGCGTCCAAATTCTTCGTCAAATTTGAAATGTTTTCTTATTTTGTGTCCCTTTTTATGGAAAATAAGTAGTAGTAGAGTTAATAAAAGCAGTTTAATCAGTTCAATACGTAGTTGCAGTTAAAGTGAAATTTGAAATGTTGCCATTGTGTCCAGTTGTACCTATTCCTGTTTTTTAAGAAACCGAGTTTCCAAAGTTCGTGTTTGAGTGCCCTTACTTCCAACCTTAATAATCTGCAGTGTGATATGCAGTTTTTTTGCTCGTGTGTCGAGAAATTGCCATTCCAGTTCTCCTAGAAATTTTCAAGTCCAGTAGGTCCAGTTTCCGACCCCAGAAGTGTAAAGTAGAGAAATTTAGTGAAAATCAAGGTAACTTTTTGTTTTCAAATTTCAAAGTAAAGTAGACATTTTTTTAATAATAATAATTGCTTTCATAATTTAAAAAGATAGTTTTTTACTTGTAATAATTTTTTATTTGCCACAGTTTATAGCCCAGTAACTGTTTAAGTTGTAAGTGTTTCTCTTTGTTAATTTTGTGTTTACTTTTGTGACTATGGATATAGTATTTTTGTATTGTCTAATTTTTGTAACTTTTTGTGGTGACACACCAGTAAATGTTTGATTTATTTCTTTAAACCATTTTTTTTATTTCTTTAAAAAAAGTTTAGAACACTTTTTTTAGTTTCATTTAAAAAGATATATTTTTCATTTCTATTAATTATTTCAATAGTTACAACTTGTTGTTGTAATCGCTATAATTTGGCACCTTGAAGCGGCGTCCATTTTAAATTGCTGGAGGTTCTTCCTGTATTTTGTTTTGCCCATTTGTTCCAGGAGATTCATGTAAGTAACCCCTTTGTTTCATTTTTTTGTAGTTTTCCCAATCCGACCCCTCGCTATTCACTTATCCATGACCCCAGCTCTCCAAACAAACCCTGAGTGCCGTTCGCATAAGTATCGTTTATTTTGCTTGACCTATCTCCACCATCAGTAACTTCTGTCCTTAATTTTCAACCCCCATAATAATATCCTATGTGATAGGCAAAATAAAATCGTTACAATATTCGCTTATACGTATTTCATAGAAATTTTATAATTTTAATTTTCGTGATTTATTATCGGATCAAAAAATATTTGTTTTTACGTTTAGGGCTTCTGTAGGAGTCGCTCTGATATTTCCTGGTAGGATGAAATACGTATAAGAGAATATACATAGGCACTATACGTGAAATTAAATCTTAATTGTCTTTTCTTTTATGTCGGTTTACTCTTTGTGACCAGACAAGAACCCAATTCGCAATTGTACAAGAACCTAATTCACAAATGATTTTTGCTTAGATGGGGAGATATGTTGTGGAATGCAACTTTTAGAATCAAGCAATAGTCTGAATTTTGGTTTCGTCAATAGAAATCTTCGGATTTCTACTTTCGTAATTTAAAGTATCTTTATTGTCTATCAAATTATCATCATTTACTTCATATTTTGCCAAGAAACTAACTCTCTATCGCTGTATATGTATAATATTGTCATATAGTTTAATTTTTATTATTTGGTTTCTCTAATTAGTTCTCAAATTGCTATTCAAGTATTTTTTTAAACCTTTTGTGTATAATTATCGATACTCTTTGTTATGTTCTCTTGTCTTTAGGAACCTCATTATATAAGTAGCCATATTTTCTTAACTTTTTAATCCTCTAAATTTGTTCATGGTTTCTGTTAGCACTGCAATATCAATATTTAAACTGTCTACTTCACCAACCACTTCATTTATTTTCTTTAAGAGACCCTGTACATTCCATGTTCCACAATTCGTAATCGTTTTCTATAGCTTAGTCCCTCTTAAACTTTTATGTCTACTCCGAAGCTTTGGTTAGGTTTTTTAGCAATATTTTTTACATAGGACCAAGGGCTGACTTGTTGCTATAACCCTCCTGCTTTATCCGCGTTTGGAACCCGATCCACACAACAACCATTCCACGAAGAGTTGAAATATGTTGAAAAATGCGTAATTTTTAGTTTTTATTTATAAAATATTTAGAAATCAGCTAATTTAATAAAGTATACAGAAATTGCTTTGGTTTAGTTTTAGTTTTAAGGTTTTCTTGGACATTGTTTAATTGGTATACATCGGCCACTGTTGTCCCTAGCATAACCAACGATGCAATAGCAGTCGTCATTACACCTCTTGTTTATTATGGGACATTGTTGACCCAAGGTTTTACACTCAGTCTGGCAAGCGCTACCACAATCGTAGTATTCATTAGGTCTAGTGCAGTTTTTCCATTGTATACCTAAAAGTAAATATAGAGTAATTATAACTGTAATACACACGGAGAACCAACATGCATATCAGAAGGAAAATCAACAGAAACAGCACTGAAAGAAGTACTTCACTCCATTAATAATGGAGAGATGAATTATTAGCTTCATGCATCAAGCAGCATCAAAAGGTATATCGGCTTCCGTGTATAACTGGATCAAAGTACTGCTGAAAAATAGGTTGATTCTATCAGACCTGCAAGGAGAGGAAATTTTGGTCAAAACAACTAAAGTATATCCATAGGAAGGAGTGCTTTCTCCCTTTTTGTGGTCCCTCCTGGTGAACGACTTGATTTCGCTCCTCAGCGCACAATGGGTGGAAGAACACGGCTACGCGGATGATCTAGTAAGTATGGTAAGAGGAAAATGTGGTAATGTCCGATCCAGCACACTCCAAAGAACATTAAATATCCTTACTGGAGGATACGACCGGGAAAAACTCTGTCAATTATAGTAAAGCAGCAGTACTTAGTTTTTAGTGGAAGTCTAGGTAAGCACTCTACCATTCTCCAAGCGTAAATTTATGTTATAGAGATGGGCCTGAAAGAACCACTACGAGTAAAGAGGAACTGCAGGGACAGATCTATAAAAATTATATCGGATAGTCAGGCGGCATTAAAGGCAGTGGAATCGAATCGGATTACTACAAACTAAACTAAAAATAGCCAAATACTTTTTCAAACACAAAAATAATTACAAATTTAAGTGAATACAACCAACTCTTAATCTAAAATCAGTAATGGACTATGTTATTGTAACGGCGATTATACTTTCGTCCAAAATAATGAGTGTCATAAAAGAAGGTATACATTTTCGTCCAAGCCCCTAAAATTGAGGTATACAAGTTCATCCAAAGGGTCGGGTAAATTTTCGTAATGCTTTTCAAAGAAGCAATTAACTCATTAGTTCCCAACGTTGCGAAAACGCAACATTTTGAAAATTATTGTTTTTGTAATATGTTATCAACATTATGACTTCTTTTTTTATCATAATTTATTGTAAATATAACAAAAATTACTTTTTTGTTTAATTACTAAAATTAAAATTTCTTGAAACTGGATTAAAAGTAAAATAGATATTAGGATTTTCTGTGAAATTGTGTGGTCTAATGCCAATTTTAGTATTTGGTTCTCGGTAATATATTTACAAAAAGGGATTATGCAATTAGTGAACCATCCATTGACAAAATATATTATCTGTAATTCTGTTTATACCAAGGTAGTTGGTACAAACAATACTTTTCGAAAATATGTACAAATTTTCGAGTTTATTCATTTGTGAAAATTTTCTCAAAGTGTTTATATACTTATCCCATTATTTTAGTTTTTAAGTAAGTTTATTATTATTTGATATTTATATTGTAAGTTGTAAATGAAATTCAGTAATCTAAGGTAATAAATTTTAGAACGCAGTAAGACAACTTTTTTTTTAATTATGGGATTGATCCCCGCGGAGCTCAACCCCTAGACGAAAGTGTATATATGCAAAATTATTTGACTTGGACGAAAGTGTTATTTCTTCAGGAAAAATTTAAGGTAAAACTGAATTGTAAAATAAGATTCATATTGTAAACAAATGCATAATTATTATGCAAAATAGATATGAATATTTAATTTTCTTAAAAAAATTACCGCAGTTTTAATCAGACCATGTATTCTTTTTGTTATCTTAAATTTTATGTTGAATAGCGTATGAAAACATTAAGTTTTGATAAAAATAATTTTAAAAAACACCATATTAGTATTGATGTCATTGCACTATGTTTTATCAACGAATATAAACGCCCAGCTTATAAATTCGTTGGTTTTATTGAGTTTGTTAGTTTGATTATTAGCCCCAGTTTGGTTAAAAAAGGTCTAAAAATTGTTCGCAAATATCTGAAACTTTTAAGACATAGGTGGGGATTACTAGATGACAAATAGATGAAAAAGTACTCGTATTTTTACCTTGCGTTTTTTTAAACAATAATTTATGGTCACAATTTGATTTTTTGTCTCAAAGTTTTTCCCTTATATTTTACATAAACAATATTTATATCGTTTTTAAAATTAAAATTGATAAATAATTTACGAAGATATTTTCAAAAAAGCAGTTTTTTGCACTAATTTATAAATTTTATAAATTTTTTTATTAATCAAATAAAATGTTATATATATATATATATATATATATATATATATATATATATATATATATATATATGTATATAAATATATATTTATTCATATGATTCTTTAAGACTTGAACTATCTCAGAAGTTAAATGCATATGCGTTTTCATCGAAATTATTTACGAAATAAACGTTTGAAAAAGGTGTATGGTTTTTACTTATAAACAATTGCAATATCTTCTATATTTTTCGAGCTTCAGACTTGTACGTACAACCATTGGATAGCTGGTAAAAAAACTCACATTTAAAAATAAAACGGTCTATGAGCAATAGGAACGAAGTTAGGGACAATTTTGAGGAAATTTTGGAGCGTGGCAGCTGCTACTCATCCCGCCTTTTTTACGCATACTAAGATATATTACCGGTTTTCTATTATGTAAATGACTTTTCTCCTATTCACATGAATAAATATAAAATGTAGGGACACGAGGACGGTGTACTCTTTGATCTTTAGAGATATTTAGATCTAAATACTCAAGTCTTCAAGAATCCTATAAAATTTGCTAAATGTGCCTAGCATTATTAATAGAACAAGTTCAATAGTTTAAATATTTAGCCCTAGGACAAAATAAATTTAATAACATTTAAACTATTTGACCGATCGGGGGGAAATTTCGCACAAATTCGGTAATTCCTCGATATTCAAATGTATTAATAACATTTTATTTTGTTAATGCAACAAACTGCTTTTTTGAAAATATGTCCGTAAATTATTTATCAATTTTAATTTAAAATACGGGAAAATAAAGATATTCTTAATATAAAAAAAATTATGTAAATATTGTTTATGTAAAATATAAGGGAAAAAATTTATAGACAAAAATCAAATTGTGATCATAAATTATTGTTTAAAAAAACGCAAGGTAACAATACGAGTACTTTTTCACGTATTCGTCATTCAGTAACCCCCACCTATGTCTAAAAAGCTTCAGATATCTGCGAAAAATTTTGCCATGAAATCGATGATTTTTACATAACCAGAATGCGCTATATAGTTAAGAGTGTAGACGTAAAATTTCGGGCCAATGCTTTTTAAATACATTCATTTTTTCGAATCGTGAGAAAATTAATAAGTATTTTTAAAAAAATATTAATACAGAAGGAAAGATTACAGTATTACCGAGGGCTGAAAGTCCCTGAAAACTTCTATATTGTTTATTTTAGTATGTTTCAGGGGTGAAAAAAAAAAAAGAGAAAATTAAGTGTGATTTTCAATTTTAACTATCTTATTCAAAAGTCGACTTCCTTAAAGTAATAAGTAATAAGTAATAATATAGTCTTTCATTCTGCGTTTAAATTTTTCAATAATATTTATTAGTTTCCCCAGGATTCGAAATCAAAGAAATGCATTTAAACAGTATTGGCCCGAAATTTTGCGCCTACGCTCTTAAAACAAAATTCTTAATAGTTCAATTAAGTTAGATTTTTACACACAACTGGATAAACAGACGGGTTTGACAGTTGAAATGTGTAGTATGAGATATTAGAAAAAGACTCTCATCCAGGGATTCATCAATTTTTGAGTGGAACTATTCTTAAATAAACAGTCAAAACGTCAAACTCAATATTTTGCTCGTAACTTAAAAACTTGTTTATTTATAGATTTGACTTAAACAGACAATTTTTTGGAAAATAAGATAGAAACAATGAGATATGCTAAATTAAAATCGGTTAGTAAACAAAAAAGATATTGCAAAATAAACAACAAAATCGATATTTTTGAATATTGTTAATAATTCTTTTATTGTTTATTAAAATTTGTTTGAATGTACTGGTACACTTGAACTTGAATGCCTTCTGTTCGAATTGTATGCAAAATTTAATTTTTTTATATATTTGTTTAATTTCTGGCCGGTCCAGATAATTTTCGTACAAAAAAAAAGAAAAAATTAATTTATGTTTATAAAATTATTTAATAATAAATAGCACTTTTTAAGCTTATAAACAGTTACAATAACTCGGTAGAATTTAGATACTTTGGGAGGAGGAGGAGGGCCATCGGATGAATTTATACCTACTGGTCAATTTATTGTTTTTCTTTCCTTTTTTAATTTTTTTTTGTTTTTATTTAATAAAACTTATGTACCTCTGGACATTTCACAAAATATTGTTTTTGATTTTTTTATTAGATAAATTATAATGCTAAGAAAAAATCTTTTTGTGCAACCTATCAGACTGTTTGAATTATTTTGAAGTTACGTGATTAACATGATTTTTGTTAAAATATTGACATATCCAAATGACAGAACCTACGTCTACCTTTGGACTGGTTTGTAGATACTGTAATGTTTTTATTAGTCCTAATTTATTGTTTTATTCTAATTTATTGTCTTTATTTTAATTTATTAAAACTCACGATAATTTATCAAAAGGGAAATCAAAACGTTACTAAAATATCCAAGGACTCTTTCCTGTCCTCCTTGAATCTGAGACAGCACTCCTCCTTTTTTGTGTGTGTGTGTGTTTTGGCTTGGACAATTGTCATTCAGCGAGTCTCAATCAAGATAAGTTTATTAATGTAGTGTGTGTGTGTGTTTGTGTGTGTAGAGTAATTGTCTTGATACTTAGCAAAGTCGACGTCATTGTCTTTGCTAAGAGACGCTAATTGTATCCGAACGTCTGCGGTCCCTCCGGTGTGTACCGATCACACAAGGATATAAATTATTTTCATTTATTAATTTTTTTAATAAACGAAAATTTCCACCCAGGTGTGATTCGAACTCACGACCTTTAGGTTTAAAGGCAGGCGCTCTTACCACCTAATATGCATAGGTGACAATCGTATAAATCGCGTGAAAACTT